TTTTTTTTTTCTTTTTGGCTAGGCAGTGGGGTTAAGTGATTTGCCCAGGGTCACACAGCTAGTAAGTGTTAGGTGTCTGAAGTCAAATTTTAACTCAGGTCCTCCTGAATCCAGGGCCGGTGCTCTATCCACTGCGCCACCTAGCTGCCCCTCAAAAGTATCTTAAGGGACAATTCTTGCTTTCCAGGGCATTTGAGGGAGCCCACTTTCATCCTCAGAACTACAAATGGGTGTGTTTAAAAGTTAGGTGGTACTTCTTCATACTGCTACTTATACCTGTACTTCTATTGGTATTTGTTATGACTATATATATATATATGTTGTTACGACACACTATATATGACTGTATATAGTATGCTATCCTGTGAATAGATAGGATATTAAAATTACTACAAAGCAATTATTCTTTTTTTTCCAATTTATTTATTTATTTTTAGTTTCAACATTCACTTCCACAAGATTGTGAGTTCCAAATTTTCTCACCATCTTTCCCCTCCCCCCACCACATGATGGCATGTATTCTGTATACCCTTCACCAATCTGCCCTCCCTTTCATCACCAACCCCCCTTCTCTTATCCCCTTCCCCTTCTATTTTCCTGTAGGGTAAGATAGATTTCTATACCTCATTTCCTGTGTATCTTATTTCCTAAAAAAAAATTATTCTTAAAAAAGGCAAGTCTAATAATAAGATTGTCATATGCCACACACTGAAAATCAAAACAGTTTTTAAAATTATTACCTAAGTACTAAGACTTCTCAAGCCTTTAAAATTTTGATTTTGCACATAATTTAATATTTTTCTAATAGTATTTATTAATATTGTTTATGAGATAAAACCATGCTAAATGAAATAAATGTGACACAAATAGTATTTCTAAATTAAATAAATTGCTTTAATACTTTTGATGACATACTGTGGCCAAATTCCAAATAAATGTGTGTGCCTCATTAGTTACAGTATGTTCTATAAATAAATGGATAACCACTACAAAGAAATGATAGTTAATCCATATATCTTTGTGGCCCAGAAGCAATTTTATAATGTAAATGAACAATATCAAATTTTCAGTGCTAAGTTATCACAGACTCTATTTACATAATTTGTACTTGCGTTTCATAAATAATGGGTTTTTTTTAATGTGAACAAGCAGTTTTTTTTGTTTTTGTTTTTTTTAAGGCAATTGGGGTTAAGTGACTTGCCCAGGGTCACACAGCTAGTAAGTGTCAAGTGTTTGGTCTGAGGCCGGATTTGAATTCAGGTCCTCCTGACTCCAGGGCCGGTGCTCTATCCACTGCGCCACCTAGCTGCCCCAACAAGCAGGTTTTAAAGGTTTTTCATACAAAAAGAATTGTTTACCTCTGATGAAGAAGGTCGACTTGGATTGAATGACGTAGTCATTGATGCCTGAGTAAGGTAATAATTACTTCTGATTGCTTCTTGGGGTCTTCTTTTTCATTTAAGCATTACTTAATGATAGGGGTCATAATATAGATCCTTTAGGTGACTCAATGATAGTATTCCATTCATCTTTTATCTTCAAGTCATATAAATGCCTGCTAAGAAGGAAAAAAATGTAAGAAATGATAAATAAGACGAATACAGAGAAGCATGGAAAGGCTTACAGGAACTGATACAAAGTACAGCCAAGAAAACCACACACACAATAACTACAACAATGTAAATGTTTCCTACCACAACCACCACAAAACAATCAAAAATGAGTATTGCAAAATCAGAAAAAACAAGCTTGATCCCAAATAAGAAATATAAGAAGACACCCATCCCCCATTACTTTTCAGAGGTTGGAGGGGAGGCCTACAAGTTGGGGAACATTGCATAGGTTGTTATTTTTCTAATATATTGACCAATTTTGCTGATTTTTTCTCTTCCTCTTTTTTTCTTTAACTTTTTTTTTTTAAATATGGGATGACTCTATGGAACAGGTAAGTGGGAAAGATATACAGGGAAATTTTAAACAAAAGATATTAATAAACTTATTTTAAAATAAAACTTTGAGAAAAAGACTTTAAGGTTGGTTTAAAACTAGAACTTTAGAATGCAGAAAAATAATCTATACTAAATGAAAAGTACCCAGTGAGTACAGCTATCAATTCATATAGAGGAAAACTATGTTCTTTATAATTTTTGCCAAATGATCTAATAAATTTCTTTATTAGGGCATGATCAAGAATTGATTTAATATTGAGTAACTCGTCTTCTGTTTTTCATCAAACAAATGATAATGCGTGATATTTCACCTAAAATAGGTTTTGTTAGTAGAAAATTTAAGTTTGTACAGATAACTATCTGGAATGATATTATCAGAATCTCAACATGTGGATTTCCCTCCAGGCACAGATTCCTTTACATCTACAAAAAAGAGTGAATGTTTCAGATGAGACCAAACAGTCCTGAACTTTGTCAGGATATAAGATCCCCATTAATTTATGCTTAAAGCTAAGCGATGAATTTGTCATCCATGAAGGAAGTTACCAAAGAGCAAATATAATCAGGTGGTTTCTTACTGATGATAAAGGAACCATATGGATGAGTCTAAGAAATTCTATTATATACTTTGAACTGCTTGTATAACATTAGAAAAGTTCATTAAGTTCTACCTAACTTAATAGTGCTACCACCCTGGAGCAGGGTGCAGCTTTAAGAATTCCATTTTAAGGATAGTCGTGATTGATTAATTTCTTGGGGTATTACACAAACTCCTGAACTTGTCTAGTTTGATATGACATGAATCATTGTGTGAATCAAATCAAATCTTCCTATATTCAAGTTCAAAATGCAATCAGTTGAAAATGACAAATGTTGGAAAAGTTACAGGAAAATAGGTACTATAAATTTGTATAGTCTTTCTGGAAAGCAGTTAGAGAGAGTTCAGGTATAGTCTACATAGTAATCTATACTCATGAAGGAAAAGACAAGCATTGTTCCAGCCTACTTTGTGGAACTAGCTTAACCATGTACATTGTATGGAGTTAGCTTAACCGTGTAATTCAGAGGTTCTTAACTCTTTTGTGTGTCATGGACCCCCCAAACCCTTTGGCAATCTGTTGAAGCTTATGGTCTCCTTCTCGGAATAATGTTTTTAAATACATAAAATAAAATATATTGGATGGCAAAGAAAACCAATCATATTGAAATAAAGTTTTCTATCCAAGCTTATGGGCTCCTTGAAGTTTATCTACTGCAGACTGTGGTTAAAAACCTATGATACATGTACTAAGGGGCGGTAATCTATAACCATGAGGCCAAATCTAGCCAGCTGCTTTTTTCTGTGCAACCCCAAATAAGAATGGTTTTTACTAAGTTTTATTGTGTTTAAAAATGTAAAAACAAAACAAAACAAAACAAAATATTCTTTGGATAGAGCACCGGCGCTTAAGTCAGAAGGACCTGAGGTCAAATCCGGCCTCAGACACATAATACTTCCTAGCTGTGAGACTCTGAGCAAGTCACTTAACCCCAACTGCCTCACCAAAACAAACAAACAAACAAATAAAAAACCATTCTTAGCTCAAAGGGGTACAAAAACAGGCTCAAGGCTGGATCTGTATGTCCCTGATATAAACCAAGAGTATATGCATTTGTTTCAGTAATGGGCCACGTAATCAGAAATACATCTGTATGAGCTATGAACTTAGATTTCAGGATTCTATGAAAGAACATACTTTCATAAAGTTAAGTGGGTCGAAACATTGCCCAGAGTTTGACCACTTAGAAATTTTAGCTGGTTAAGTGTGCTAGCTAATCTCCAAGATAAACATTTCAGACCACATGTTAAACCAACTACTCTCATTTTACAGATGAAGAAACTGAGGACCACACAGGTGAAATGACCCGTTCCAGTTCGTGGTCCTTTTTCTCCATGTATAAAGTTAAGGAAGTTGGGTTAGAAGACCTCTAAGATCCCTTCTTGCTCTGGAAGCCCAGGAGGTCCTGACCTCTGAAAGCCCAGGAGGTCAGCTGGTAGTTGTACATTGGCTAAAGTACTGGGCCTGGATTTGAATTTGGCTTCCACCACCTTACTCTCTGGGCCTCAGCAGATTCAAGTTTCTTCACCTTTGTACTTACTATTCCCAACTTCTGGAATGCTCTACTCCCCCACTTCCAACTCTTAGCTTTCCTGACTTCCTCCATGACTCAGCTCCCATCCCACTTACTCCAGGAAGCTTCCGGACCCTCCTCCCCAGCTGCCAAAGACTTCCCCTCTCGAAGTCTCTCTCATATGCTCTGTACATATCTTGTATGTACTTAGCGGTTTCAAAAGTGAGTTGGAGAGAAGGGTTCTTCTGTGATTCTCCATATTCCCAGCATTTAGCACAATACTTGGCACACAAACTAATCTTAATAAATGCTTGTTAACAACTTGATCTGGCCTCTGCCATTTACTCTCTAGGCCTCAGTTTCCTCATATGGAAAATGAGAAAACAGGACTGGATGAGAGTTGTCAAACACATAGCCCACACCACTCCCAGATTAAAAATGTAACTGGGAAATACTTAGCAAAATAGAAATACAAGAAAATATAGATGATGTTAATAGGTGGTTTTCTAAGTCAATAGACAATCGCAGGGATCCTTATTAATGATTTCGTTCTATTTGAGTTTGATGCCATTGACTTAGATGACTCCGTGAGATCCATCTTCCTCTTGAGAGAGTTGGGGGTGGGAGAAGTAAGGGGAAGCCAGTGGGGTTGAGTGGGAAAAGTAGTGGTTTTGTTTTCAGAGGACCTGGGTTTGAATCTGCCCTCTACCACTTTATTCTGGACCTCAATATCCTTTTGTGAAAAAAAAAATGGAGTAATGACCACTCTGTCCCTGTGCCTCAGTTTCCTCTGGTGTCACAGAGAGTGTTGGAGTAATGACTACTTAGTCCCTGTGCCTCAGTTTCTTCTGATTCCAGAGGGGACTGGAGCAATGATCACTCTGTCCCTATGCCTCAGTTTCCTCTTGTTTCACAGAGGGTGATGGAGTAATGACTACTCCATCCCGTGCCTCAGTTTCCTCTGGTGTCTAAGGGGGTGTTGCAGTAAGGACCATTCTGTCCCTGTGCCTCAGTTTCCTCTTGTGTCACAGAGGGTGATGGAATAATGACAACTCTGTCCCTATGCCTCAGTTTCCTCTTGTGTCTAAGGGGGTGCTGGGATAAGGACCCCGTCCCCTGCCTCAGTTTCCTCTGGTGTCTAAGGGGGTGTTGGGGTAATGACCACTCTGTCCCTGTGCCTCAGTTTCCTCTGGTGTCTAAGGGGGTGCTGGGGTAATGACCACTCTGTCCCTGTGCCTCAGTTTCCTCTGGTGTCTAAGGGGGTGCTGGAGTAATTATCACTCTGTCCCAGTGCCTCAGTTTCCTCTGGTGTCACAGAGGGTGTTGGGGTAAGGACCATTCTGTCCCTGTGCCTCACTTTCTTCTGGTGTCTAAGGGGGTGCTGGGGTAATGACCACTCTGTCCCTGTGCCTCAGTTTCCTCTGGTGTCTAAGGGGGTGCTGGAGTAATTATCACTCTGTCCCAGTGCCTCAGTTTCCTCTGGTGTCACAGAGGGTGTTGGGGTAAGGACCATTCTGTCCCTGTGCCTCACTTTCTTCTGGTGTCTAAGGGGGTGCTGGGGTAATGACCACTCTGTCCCTGTGCCTCAGTTTCCTCTGGTGTCTAAGGGGGTGCTGGAGTAATTATCACTCTGTCCCAGTGCCTCAGTTTCCTCTGGTGTCACAGAGGGTGTTGGGGTAAGGACCATTCTGTCCCTGTGCCTCAGTTTCCTCTGGTGTCACAGAGGGTGTTGGGGTAAGGACCATTCTGTCCCTGTGCCTCAGTTTCCTCTGGTGTCACAGAGGGTGCTGGGGTAATGGCCTCTCCGCCCCGTGCCTCAGTTTCCTCTGCCGTCAGAGGGCACTGGAGGAAGGACCACTTACGCCCCACCCAGCCTCAGTTTCCCCCGGTAAGAAGGGGCTGCCCGGCGGCCTCCCAGGTGCCCCCCCGCCAGTCTAGGTCGGGGATCCCTCCGTCCGTCGGACAGGCGCCCCCCCGCTCCCCCTGGGCCGGTCTCCGGGGGAGGGGTCCTCGTCCGCGGTCGGGGTCCGCCCGGGCTCTTACCGCTCCCCTCCCACCACTCGCTCGCTCGCTCGCTCTCTCGGAAGGAAGGCGCAGGGGAGGAAGAGGAGGGGGTTGGGGCGTCGAGCCGGTCGCGCACACGCGCGCGCGCTCCCGAGGCGCGCCCGGCCCCACCGTCCGCCCGCGGCCCCTAGCGCGCACCCGGCGAGGCGCGCGCCGCAGCTCCGGGACCCTAGGGGGGTGTGGGGGGGGCTTGCCGCAGAGCAAGAGGGGCGGGGTGGAGGAGACTCCGGGAGGGGCGGGAGCGGGTGGAGGACCTGGCGCATGCGCGCTGCGAGGGTGGCGGTACTTGGCGGAGCACCGGAAACTTAGAAACAAAGTTCCGAGTAGCACCGCCCCCTCCCCCAGTGCCCCCCTCCCCGCGCCTGTCCCCCCGCCCGGCGCGCACACCCTCGGGTACTTATAGGCACCACACACCCGGCGCGCCGCCAGACCCAGCGAGCCAGGGAGCGAGCGGACGTCTGCCCGACCACCCACCACCCGACCACCGACCACCGACCGCGGACCCCGGCTCCTTGCGCCATGTCCAGCAGCTCCAACGTCGTCGCCATGAGGAAGGTGGTGCAGCAGCTCCGGCTCGAGGCCGGGCTCCACCGCGTGAAGGTGAGCCCCCTCCCCAGATACCCGCTGCAGCCCCGGGAGGGGCTCGGACTCCAAACCTCGAGCCCTCATCCCTCGGGAGGCTCCATCCCTCCAAAGATCCTAGCCCCGCAAAGACTGCAGACCCAGAGACCCCAACCCGCGATATCCCAGCCCCTCAAAGACCCCAGCCCCCTGACTGGCCCCTGCACACTTGGGTTAACAAGTGTCTGGGGCTCCTCCGAATTTCCCCAGGGGAGGGGGGAACTCTTCCCTAGACCCCCGACTCCTTGTCATTCTGGTGACCCTCTCCCTTGCCAATCGCCCCGAACCCCGGACTTGGGAGTTCGTGCCCCGAGTGACACCCGGGTAGAGTGGGTGGGGGGGATGGGGACAAAGAGACTTTCGTGATTTCTTGAGCCGTGCCCCGCGCTCTCTTTTTGTTTGTCTCAGGTTCCAGTCTCAGATTCCCATGTGCTGCCCTGTACGATGTCGCTTTCCCCTTCTTTTCCCTTGACCCGCCTCTTCTCTGCCTCCCCCCACCCCGACAAACGTCTCTCCCCTAAAAGAACCCATTCCAAGTCTGCTCTCCCGTCCCGTTTCTAATTGGGTTCAGCATTTATACCCTCCTCAGGTCTTAAGTTCTTCCGTCTCCTGAGAACAGGAAGAAAAACTTGAGCTGATCTTTTACAGGTTCCACTTTTTTTTTTTTTTTAAACTACCATTCTTACTACGGAAGAAGAAAAATGAAATTAACTGGCTCTAGGGAATTTCTGGTTTGCCTCTGTTTATGCTTGGGGGGAAAGGCTGGGAGAGAAAAAGAGGAGTCAGGGGAGGACTGAGGAGATGAGAAAAAAAAATTAATAAAAAAATGCACCCTCCCGGGACACGAGAGAAATAGTCTGCTTCGGGGAACAAATAGCTTCGATGTATAGAGCACTTTGTAGTTTACACAACGTTCTTTGTGCTGTCCAATTCTATGCAGTTGAGTAGATAATAGTGTTCCCACCTCTGAGGCTTTTTGACTTGCGTGACCTTGCAAGGCAAAGAACTTAACCTTTCTGGGCCTCAGTTTCCTTGTGTGTAAATGAGGGGATTGGGCTCAAGGACAGAATTCTAAGAAACCTTCTGTGACCTTGTCATGCCCCTCCTAAACAGAAACTCATTCAGGTCAGTCAGTCCACCTGGCTACCCTAGGATATTCTCCCATTTATAAACTGCCAATCTAGAGCCCACCCATCTTTTAAGCCCCAGCTCAGATCCTGTCTCTTCATGAATCTGTCCTCGATTGATCTTTCATAAACTCCCTTTTTTGCAGTATCAGCACTGTTGCATACTAAACCTTTTTCCAACTATTGCTTATAATTCAACACGTTATTATATCAGGATGTAATATTGCCTTGTTTAATAATTGATTCATGCTAATTGAGTCTCATTTCTACAACTGGGTTGTAATTTCTTTATTGGCTAGCTCTGTTATAGATACACATCTTTGTCCCTAGGACAGGGCTAGGGTTAGGGTTGAGGAATAGCTGGTACTTGATGCAGAATTTCAAGACTAGCAAATCGATTTATATTCATTATCTTATTTGATTTTCACTGCAACCCCGGTGAGAATTATTGGCACGTCATTATTTGGATGAGAAAACTGAGACTCGGGTTGTTTGCTAAAGGATATTCACAGCTAGTTAAGTCTCAGGAGCAAGATTTGAACCCATTTCTCTCCTCAGTCAGCTATTTCTACCTTATTGGCTTCTGTGGACCAAGGGCATATTTACATATTATGGGGGGAAGGGAAGCACTTTCTTATGTAACATGGTATACAGTAACTGTTGAAAATGGGCAGATTCCAGAATGATTTAAAAATTGTCTTTATTAGACAAGTCTTAAATCAGAATTAGAAGGCACCTGGGATAATTTGGTCCAACCTTGTGTGAAACATCTTTTAAAGTGGCTGGATGTGAAAACAAGTGAAGCCACAGTGATGAAAATGGTGAAATAGGAATGGTTCTAGGGATTCAAGGTCACAGGAGACAGGAAAATTTAGCAAAGGAAAGGTAGAAAGAAAGTGGTGGGAGTAGAATAACAAAGTTCAGCCAACTTGGAAGTCCAATTCTGTGAAATGGTAAAGTCTGAGACATTGAAGTGGATCAGAAGAGGTACTTTGTTCATGAGTATATGTAATAGGATCACTTAGCATAGGCACACTAGCCTTTAATTAGTGCACATATCTTCTTTGAGGTATAATATTGTTTTCAGCAAAGAGCTGAGAAAAGTCTTCATTAAAATATTTCTATCACCTAACAACACTTTGTTCTCTATTTGTTATAAATAGGTTTCTCAAGCTGCTACTGATCTGAAACAGTTTTGCCTGCAAAATGCCCAAAACGATCCCCTGCTGACTGGGGTATCTTCCAGTACTAATCCTTTCCGGCCGCAGAAAGTCTGTTCTTTCCTGTAGCAAGATGATCTTAAGCTACTTGGGAAGGGTAAGTTACCTTAAAAAAATAAAAACCCAACAGGTTAATTCCTTTGTTGAACACAGTTCCATTTTTGACAGCTCCCCAGATGTCTGTCTGCACCTTTTCCCAATTGGTTCCAGTTCTCTCTATTGAAGTAATATAATATCTAATTACACTTTGACTTAGCAGTGCTCTTCTATTTAGCTGCCTTACCAATTCAAGATGAATATTCTTTAGCTAAGTACACACTAAAAACTGGCCCAAGAACACCATTACAGATCTTGGCTGGATGTGAATTGTTAGTGTAGTAAAATATCAAGTTTTGAATTCAGAAACAAATTACTGAATTTTCTAGAATTAATTGAGTTAATCGGATAGTGAGCCAGAGGATTAGGAAACTAATGATTAGAAAAGACTTAATCATTCCATATATTATAGAGATATTTACTAAATCATCTAAGGAAAATGAAACTGCACATTTAAAACTAAATGATCCTGACAATCCGGTAGTATTTTTTTGTGCATACTGAAGCTTAAATGGCAAAACCTGGTGGTGGTTTTTTTTTTCCACTTAACTTACAAATAGTTAGCAAGGAAAAAAACTTATCCAGTAAAATAGCCAAGGAAATAGTTCAATAGCATTAGCTAGAAGAAAAATAAGCAGCCTTAGTCTCTATTTGAATTTTTCTTGTGTAAGGATCGTTAACACGTCCACCCTTTATAGAAATTCTGAAATCTTCAGTGTTCAGGAAGTTGCTTCCTGAAAATACCAAGTTCCAGCTGTACCTCCCTAATTGAGTTCTCTTTGAAATCTGGGAGTGTACAAACAAGCCCATGTGTGTAGAATTACCATGTATTCAAAAGTAACCACCACAACCATGCAACATGCTGCGGCACCAGTATAAAGTATTTTTAATACAAAGGGTTCTTGCCATTACAAGTTACAGAGTAGCATGTTCTACATTTAACATTGTGTTTCAAATCCAGCTCCTTTCACAAATGAAATGAATAATGGGTATACAAACAAGTTATTTGGCATAACTCTTAGAGGCACTTGCCCTTTATCATACATATGAGGCTCTGGTTATGACTTGTTAAAAGTCCACAGGACAGCAAAAGATACAGCAGGCATTAGAATCCATGTCTTCTGACTCAGTACAAATCCTCTATCCCACATTTTGGGTGTGTTCTAGGATTGCTTGTTTTTTATATGGTTATGACATGTGAATGTATTCTTTAAGAGTAACTGTTCTCCTGTGTAAATTTGTTTTTCTTTCAGATCTCTGAATCCAGTCTTCATATGTGCATCTGTGACGTGACGTGATGTTGTGATGTGAATTGTGACCATTCAAAGGAGAGAGAATTCTAAAGCCTGCACAAAAGTTTAATCTATATGTGTGTAATAATGTGCCACGTTAATCATCCAAATTTCAACTTGTGTCAGACTTTCTCATCTACCTCTCCGAATTGTCATTGATTTCTGTTTTGTACACTGGTAAGAATACAATAAAGTATTCAGATGAAAATCACATTTTTGTAGTTCTTTAAGGGTTAATAATGGGTTTCAAAGACTCATAGGGTAAAAATAAAATATATTAAATAAGGGGAAAAAAAGAATCATAGGGTAAACCTGAAATCAAATGTAGTATATTTAGTTCAATGTACATAAACTTGATCCAGTCCATACAGGATATCCTTTGAGTTATTTCTGTAGTGGTGCAAAGCTCTACTGAATTATTTCTCTTCTAGTCCCTATCACACCAACATCATAGAATATGCTATTTGCAAGATTATCATCTATCTGATCGATAGACAGAAAGAGATCCTTTCAATGACTTGGTGTGTGACCAGACAGGTACTAGAATCTGGCTCTCTGGACTCCTAGTCTAATTCGCTTTCAGCTATTCATTCTGTTTTCTTCTACCAGGCAACAAGCTGACTTTAAAAAAAGAAAAGTTATACATTATTCCCAGCTCAGTACAAGGTGAAAGTTAGAAAAAATGGATATATTAAAGAACATACTCCAACATTCATTTATTACTACAAAGAGCTGATACATTCAAAGGATAATCAATGAAAGGACTTTCATTGACAAATATATGGCTGAAAAGTGAGTGTGTCTTCAGATGAGGTCTCTTCAGTAAAAAATAACAGTTCAAAACAGGTGATGTCCAATCCTGCTTTCCTAAGTACTTCATAAATGAAATTTCCTTCTACTTGTGTCCATTTCACGGGGCTAAAAATCCAAACAAACAAAAAAAATGGCTTGAGTAAAACAAATAGGTACAAGAGTAAAGACAGCTTAAAGTTAATAAAATAAATATAAATTTTAAAATGTAAAATTAAAGCTAATAAAATCCATAGCATATATATACATGAGAAAAGATCTATATTTATGTGGTATTAGAGCCTTAGTTGGGTACCAAGAGTCGAAAGCTTTCTGTTTCCCCATTAACTAAAAAATTAGGTTTAGTCTAAGCCATAATCAGTAGTCTTGTTAAAGCAAAAATTATTGTCCAAAATAAGTATTCTACTTGACTGTTAAGAAGAAACTATTTCAGATTACTGCCTTACAATTTTCAAACCAAGTATTTCTAGAGATCTTTGAAAGAAACTGGTCATGATATAATAGTTTAATCTCTTTATCCCAGGGGTGAGGAACCTTTTCGTGTTGGAAGACTGCATTAATATTTACTTGTAATCAAATAAGGCCAAATTCAAGAAACTTACAAAATGATATTCTTTAAAATGTACATTATTTTATAAAAACCTAATATTATATACTTAATAATTTCAAAAAATGAAATTATTTGTTAATTTTAAAGTTAACTAATCTTTTAATGACTTTGTTGTGTCTGCTTTTGGTTGGAAAGCATTTGAGTATTTGGTTGCAGCATGGAGGTCTGCAGTTTCAGTTTATCCTCTAGATGAGTATCAGTCATTTGTGACCTTAAAGGCGTTATGATTTGGGTTAGGTAGAATGTAGACTCAACAACCAGTGGTTCAAACGCAAGAAAGCATTCTTCCGACATGTTGCCAAAGGTGTGGGTATTCTACCAAATTTTTCCATATTTCAGTTGGATCTTTCTTAGCAAAAAACACTGACTTTAAAATATCATCTACTGAGAGCTCAATCGATTCCACCTGTAGTTCTTTAGGTGCCTTGGAGATATCAACTAGGTGAGGCTGAAATGCTAATTTGAGTAAATCAAAGTGACTGAATCTTTCACTGTATTCTCCCAATTAATAGGTCTATAACAGCTCTGTATTCTTCAAATGATTCGCATATGCCATCCTGCTCATCAATGACCTTTGCTAACTGAGGAAAATGTTCATCAGAAATTTCCTTTTGAAGAAGTGTTTTGAAAAAAGAAGGCTTTTTACAAAATGCTTGGATTTTTTGCCACATATCATATGTAGACTTAGTTTTACCTTGCAAAGAAATATTCAAGTCTTTTTGATTTGACGTATCACACAGAAATGCAGCATTCCTATAGAAACCTTCTTTCAACAATTAATTCCCGTGGCTGATTCTGTTCTTCATAAAAATTAACTATCTGTTCTCACAGAGATAAAATTTTGGCTAACGCCTGTCCCTGAGATAGCCAACGCGCTTTAGAATGATAAGGCAAATCCACACTGAATACCTCATCAGTCAACTTTAGCATACTATGAAACTGATGATGCCGTGCTGCATTTGCACAAATATAGTTAACAATACTTATAACTTGTTGCTTAGTGTCACTTAAAATAGTAGCTTTAGCACAGAGATTTTGCTGATGTAAGATACAATGAAAAGAAATAAGAGCAACTGGATCTGCTAATACTTTTTTTTTAATCTATGCAAAACACTCTTCTTGTTTTCCTATCATGGAAGGTGCACCATCTGTACAGACACTCACTAAATTTACCAAATTCAGTTCAACTTCATGACATTTATCTTGAAAATCGTTGAAGATAGTAACTATTTCCCATGTTGTCTTCGCAAGAGTGCCCAAAGCAAGTAATTCTTTGTAGTGAAGAAAATCTTCTGTTATGACTCGAATGAAGTACAAAACATGCACCGAGTCAGTGGTACAAGTTGATTCAACCAAAGTAACTGAATAACAGATATTTTCCTTTTCAAGTACTGCATAAAGTTGTTATGTTAAAAATCAGTTATGGTTCTCTTTAAAAGAGGCAATTGTTTGTACTTTGAAATGTTATTGGGGGGGAGGGTCCTAAGCATCCTACAACTTTGACAATGCATTCTTTCACAATTTCTACATCACCGAATAACTTCTCCTTTTTCCAAGTACATAAGCTACTTTATATGTAGCTTCAGTAACATTATTTCCAGGTCTTATTGCTGCTTGAACGAACTGTCTTTGCTTTTGCTTTTCATCTTTTAATTTCTGCAATACAACCTTTCGTGCTTCTCCCTCTAATTTAAAATATTTGCGGCCCTTATGAGTGTTATAATGCTGATGAGCATTGAATTTCCTTAATGTTATCAGTGTAGTATCACAAAGCAAGCAAATCATCTTATCTATAGCAGAAACAAAATAATATTGCAACAAGATAATATTGCAATTCCCAATTCTCATTAAAAAAAATAATCTGTTTTCTTCCTGCAGCTTTCTCTAGGTCTTCTTTGATATGATGGGCTGTTAAGCAGACAGAATTTTTAAAAATACTGTGGAGCTATGCAACTATTCACAAACTTCATTTCAAACAGAAACAGTGCACCGTTATCAAAAGCTGGTAACAGAATGGCGTACTCAATCCCCCTAAACTCTTGCCAGCAAGCCTCATATGGTAGTGACACCAGTAAGGTGGGGGAAGTTAGAACTAAATAATGAGCATAGCAGCCATCAATTTAGCTGTTATGGCTTAAGGATGTTCTAATTGTGCTGGTCAATCTGGGAGGATTATTTCATTGAAACTTATTTTATTTTTTTGGTATTTTAAATACATTTATTTTTAAAATAAAAATATAAAAGACAAACAAATATGTATTAATAAAAATAAAAAGATCTGTTCTAGAAAATTTAGATTCAGTCAAAAGGCCATACTTAAGGACCTAGGAGGCTATATTGGCCTTAAAGTCACAGGTTTCCCACCCCTGCTTTATCGTTTTATCCACTCCAACTTGAGCACAAGCACGTCAGAGGTAAGGATTCTAGAATAGACCTCATTCCTAAAGCTTAAAGATCACTTAGAAGAGCTTTTCCTTTCTGCTTCATGATTTTAAAACTGATTGATCAACTAGTATTTCAGATATTCTAAAACATACCTTATGAACCCATTCATATTCTCCATATTTAGAATCAAAGGTTCCTTTCTGAAGAGATCTCAATTTTAGGGTAAAACGTGGTCCAAGTTCTTGAATTCCCACTTTCTTTTCGCTCTTAAAAAGGTACCTTGAACAACAAAAGAAAAGTTTATAAAAATTATTTTTTTAAATTCATTTTTAACTAAAGGCTAAACCAGCTCTCTCAGTTCCTTTCCACATGACAAAGAACAGAGCCTACGTATCTTCGAGATGGATGGCAACTTCAAAGGTCTTTTAGATGAATCCCTTCTGGAATTACCAATCTTCCCTCTTCACATTTGCAACTTGTAATCATCCAGCGTCCACTTGACATCCTTATTATGAGCAGAAACCTGCTACCTGCCAAGGCAGTCCATTTCAATTTCTAGACACCTTTAATTGTTTGAAATTTTTCCTTAAATCTGGCTTTCCACAATTTCTATCCACTGGTCCTAGGTCTTTCCTGAGGCTGAGCAAATCAAATTCCTCTTCTATGTTCAACACATTTTCTCTACATCATACCATACACCTAACTGCCTTTCTCTGGCCTCATTTCTCCCTGCTAATGTTACTCTTTAAATATGGTACTTAGAATGGGAAAACAGTATGATTCCAGATGTTATCTGACTAGTGAAGCAGTAAGACTATCACTGCCCTCATTCTAGACATTACACTTCTATTAATGATTACTAAAATTGCATTTGTTTGGGAGATTGAAGGAATATCATAATAAACTATTAACACTTACTGAGCTTAGTTAAATAAAATTATCTAGCCATCTACCCCCAATTTATATAGTTGATTTACTGACCATAAAGGCTAGACTTTATCCTATTAAATTCAATCTGACTAGATTCAGCCTATTGCTCCAATCTGACAAATTTTTTTGAATCCTGATTCTCTTAACCAAGAGATTAGTTAATCTTTCCGTTTCTAGCTTTCATGTCCTCTAAATGAACACCACGTATAGTGTCCTTCATCTAAGTTTCTGATAAAAATATTGAACTGAATGGGTCCACTGACAATTATGAAGCATGACACTCAAAATTTTCTTGAGTTTCACGTGAACACATCAATTAACACTGTGTTCCACTGTCTGATTTCTTTTCAGTCTACCTTAGCATCTCATCTAGCTAACTGTGCTCAATCTTGCTGTGTACAATGGTAAGTAAACGGGCTGAAGGGAAGAAATAGGTAAAAAGTCTAGAGAGAGGGAGGCTGTAGCCAGCCTCTGCAGGGCTGCAGATACCAAACAAAGGAGCTCCTATTTGATCCTAGAGGCAACTGGGAACTGCTGGAGAGAACGCTGCCTTTCTGAATGAGGGTTTGCTCGGTATTTTTGGTATGTCACTCTAGCAGTTCTTCCTCCGATCTTTAACCTCCTCCTATCTGTTGGCTCTTCCTCTGCTACCTTCAAACATGTCCACGCCTCTATCCTTCAAAAACCCTCCCTTGACCATTCCATTCCCTCAAGCTATTATCTTAAAATCTTTCTTCCTTTCCACAACCAAACTCCTAGAAAAAATTGTCTACACTAGCTGTCTCCACTTCCTCCTCTCACTCCTCAAATATTTACAACCTAGTTTCCAACTTCATCATTCACATGAAAGTGCTACCCCCAAACTTGCCAATTACCTTGACCTCAAAGGATTTGACACTGTTGATCACTCTGCCTCACTGATATTCTCTCCCCTTTGGGTTTTGATCACACTGCTCTCTCTTGGTTCTCCTATCTCATCACTCCCTTCACAGACCTCTCTGTCGGTTAATAATAATCCAATCACATCCAGTAATTACAGCCACAGTCCCAGACTACCCTGGACATCTTCTCTCTATATACTTTCTTGGTGATGTCATAAGCTCCCACAAATTTAATTATCTCTATGCAGATGACTTTCAGGTTTAGACGTCCAGCCTTAAGACTCTCTGCCTAAGCACCATTCCTATATCACCAAAACTGTTTAGTGAATATTTAAACTCACCATGTACAAGAAAAAACTCATCATCTTACTCCTGAAACCCACTCTACTTATGAACTTCCCTTTTTTGGTTTAAGGTCCCCAACACCCTTCCAGGCACCCAGCTTCCTATCAGTCTTCCTTAACTCCTCTCATTTCTCACACATATCCAGTCAACTGCCAGGTCCTGTCAATTTTCCCTCCATATTTCCCCACTCACTGTCTTTTCTTTAGTCACATGGCCATCCCCTAAGTTTAGGCCCTAAGCACCTCTCTTAAATGATTAAAGTGGCCTCCTAATCTTTCACACTGCCAAACTGAAATCCATAATGCACATGTCTGACTGGGGGCAAGGAGTGCTCAGCTCCATAAACACCAGCAGTTTCTTATGTCCTCTAGGGTTCCATTAAACTCCTATTCAGCATTCAAAGCCTACCTTTTTCAAGCTTCACTCCATCTACAATCCAATCAAACCTGCCCCAAACCTTGCTGTTCCTCACCTATGTCTGAAATGTACTCCCTTCTCACCCCTTTCTTACAATCCTGAGCTTCCTTCAAGGTCAGCTCAAGCACCAGTTTATATGAATCTTTCCTATTCCCTTCCCCCTACCCCCAGCTCCTAGTGCCTCCCAAACCCACCAAAGTTATTTTGTATTTACTTTGTATAAATCTTGTATCTATACACAGACCATATATGCATGGTCTCTCTTAATTGGATGTAAGCAGAGACGTTTGTCTCTGCAGCCCCAGAACCTAGTTACCTGGCACACAGAGGAACTCAATAAATGCTTGTTGACTGACTAGAGAGAGGAGAGTGTGGAGGCTGGGACAACACCTAAGGGGCTGCTGCAGTAGTCCCAGGTAAAAAGGTGTGAAGAGAAAGGAATGGATACAAAAGATGTTGTGGAGGCGGACTCAATGAGACTTGGCAACTGACAAGTGTGCAGGAGAGTGAAGAGGCCAGGATGACCCCAACATTGTGAACCAGGGTGACCAGAAGCAGGGGGTGCCCTTGACAGAAACAGGGAAGTCTGAAGAAGGGGGAAGATAATGAGTTCTGTTTCGTACATAATAATTTTGAGGATACCCCAGGACATCTGACTAGAAATGCCCAGAAAGCAACTGGTGATGAGAAGTGAGAATTCATGAGAAACTGGGGGCCAGATACATTAACTAGGAAGGACCCCAAAAGGAAAAGAAAGTAGAGTTAAAACAGTTAAAAAGACAACGTAAGCAAGACAACGGAAACATTAGTATGAAAAGAAAAAGGAAGATAGGTGTGACTATCAAGACAACAAGGGAATAATGAGGTGAGGATGGTGACAACTCCAGAGTTTACTGTGGAGGCACAAGAAATCTGTCGGAGCAATTCAACAGAAGAGCTACTAGTGAGGAGGACAGAAGACTCAAATTCTCAATTTCAGCAAATAGGGAGGGCAGAGTTTTGCATTGACATATGAGTATATGATCATTCTCTTTTTACCACAGCCAAATGACTTATCTACGCTCAAAATGCAGAATGGTCCCCCACAGAAAAAAGTCAAGGGGTTCAAGGAATGCCTTACCACATGTTCAGGGAGAATGAAGGGATAAATATAAAATAAAAACAAGGAAGGGTTTCCCTGTCAAGACAAAGAAAAAAGGATCTTAAGAAACAGAAAACAAAGCTGGCCAGGTAGAAGAAAGTGAGACAGAGGCAAAAGAAGAGAAGATGTGAAGCTGCAGGGAGGAGGGTGAACTCTCTGAGGAAGAGGCATTTGCTTGTCCCCCAAAGGATAACAGTGGATCCACCACTAGAAGGGTCTGAGGAGGAAGAGAGCAGCAGCGGTGGGTGATTTCCCACTGAGCGAACTAAAGCAGTTCTTTGTTGGCCTGAAACAGCAACAGAAAGGGCCTTCCTGGTGCAGGCATCCAGGATGCAACAGAGACCTTCCTAAGACTTATAAACCAGAGAACTTACTAGCCATTTCTAGAGAATTCTATGAACACAAATAATACTAACTAACATACAAAATCTACAAAGTACTGCTAAAGATAACAAAATCTTGGGCAAAAACCTCAGGAACCTAAGTGTTGTTTCATCATTGTTCTCAGATCAGAAGGATTACCTTCTGAAGAGAATTGAAGATTTGATAAATGACCCTCTCATTAAAGACATGGTGCCAGCAAAAGGTATTTAGATTCCATACCCAAGTTTAAAAAACAGGAATGACAAGCTCCTGGTCCAGAATGGAATCCACCTAACAATATTTGGTAAGAGTATCTTCAAAAGGGTTTTAAGCTGAAAATGAAACGTATAATGAAGATACTTTCTCTGTACATCTGTCAAACTAGATACTTCTATAGAATAGCTACTATGTAAGATGAAGAAAACAGACAATTCTCAGTAGTTCAAAGGAGAAAAAAATCCAAGGAAGGAGCCAACAATAACACCAATGGTCTTGGTTAGCTATAAATATAAGCACAATGTACAGGTAAGAAGAGGAACTAATGCTCCTAATAGAAGGATGATAATTTGACCATAAAAGTGCCACTGAGTGTTGGTGGGATGACACTGATAATTGGTACATGATACAAAAGGCACAGGTGTTTAGGTTATTCTGCTTCAGTTTTCTCTTCAAAGAAGAAAGATCTTTGGACTAGTAAAGAGAATAAAAATGATTAACAGGGAGCTGATATCCAAGATTAGCAGGCAGATAGTAAGACAATCTCTCTCTGTCCATGATGAGTTCATGTTTCCAGGCCAAGATGAACTATATCCTTCCGCCCTAAAATTGGCAGATGTGACTACTAAGCTATTATCGGGGATCTCTGAAAGATCATGGAGAACAAGGGAAGTAAAACAGGATTAGAGAATGGCAAATTTTCCAATTTTCAAAAAAGAGAACTGTGACAATACCTTCAATTCTTGACCATATTATAGACGATATATTTAATGCAATACTTATAAAGAGTTACAAAAAAAAAAGCCAGCATTACTTCATCAAGGACAGGTCACGACAAACCCCATTTACTTCATTCACTGTCCAAGTTACTAGACTTGTAAATCAAAGGAATGCTTTCATTTACCTAAATTTTAGCAAAGTTTTTGAACAAATGTCTATCTTGTTTAGGAGAACAAGAGGTAGAAATACGAGTAAGATGACAATATAGTTAAGTGAATTCGGAACTGGCTGAATGGCCAGAATCAAAGAGTAGTCACTAACAGCTGTATATCACCTTGGAAGCAGGTATCTGGTGAAATTCCTCAGGGATGTGAGAGTGGCTCTTAGCCAAAGGCATAGATAGTATGTTTATCAAATTTGCAGATAGTACAAAATTAGCTAGCTAATTTATGAGAAAACAAAGTTAGGATTCCAAAATATGTTCAGACAATAATGGGTTAAATCCAACAAACTGATAACCAGACCACATTAGAATATTGTGTTCAGTTCCAAGTGCCATATTTAACAAAGGATATTGATAAGCTAGGAAGCATACAGAGAATGGAAACCAAGATGCCGAGGACCTCAAGTACATATCACATAAAGATGGGCTAAAGGAATTATGCATGTTTAGACTGGCAAAGAGGAGATTTAGAGAGGACACTGTAATGAGCTGTCACACAAAAAAAAGGAACAATTGCTTTTTGGTTCCAGAGAACAGGACTAAGAGGAATGGGCAGAAGTGTCAAGAGGCCAATTTAGGCCCACTGTGAGGTAAAACTTCTAAACAGGTTATCTCAGAAGGGAGTTAGCTCCTTTTCATCAGGTTTCTTCATGTAAGGACTGGATGACTATTTGTTGAGGACCTTATTAAGGTAAAGCTTTGATCAGGGCAGTCTTTGAGCTCCCAATTCTGAGACCTTGGGACACTTGAAACATAATTATTACAAAAAAGACAATGTATATCAGGCCTTTTGTAACTATGAAAGGCCACGTAAATAATGATTTTTATTAACATTCTTAAAGTACATAGAACTTAATTAGATCTCTTATTAATTCCATTACATAACTGAAAATTTTACCTGTGAAATCTGAAAAAGATGTAATCCCGCTGATTATGAAATGTTGCAACTTGCCTTCCAATAAACTGAGGATCATGGGGGAAGAGAGAAGCAAACATACGTCCAATGGAATGACCCAGTCTTGTTGTAAAATTATTCAGAATTACTTCAGGTGAATGTTGGGTGGGTTCTTTCCCTTTCCTCTGGAACAATTTTGCAGAATTACTACAGGTTTAAGAGAGCTAACATAGTTCTAGCCATAACTGTAGAGCACACACCAATATTTCTTTAGTTATCATCTTAAAATGATGCAAGAAAGCATTCTTTATTCCAATGTCAAGTAAGAACTTATTCAAAATAAACAGTTAAAGTATCTATTTTTAAAGAATAGCTTAGCAGATTAATTTAACTTCTGCAACTTTTAGATCTTGATAGTCACTTCAGTCTAAAACCAGAGACTGAGACAACAGGCATTCAGCACAAATGTTCCCCCAAATTACTTACAGATTAAAGAAAGTCCTATCCACAGAAAGACAGGGCAACTCTCATCGTTAGATTGCCTTTATTTTTATGAGAACTTGGCACTAATGGAAATATGTTACATTTTCTAATATTCATAAAAATAAAAATGGAATATTACAATTTGTACACTTCTAAAAATTAGAAAAATGGAATGGAAGCAATTAAAAAGCTGTTCTCCGGCAAAGAACAAAACAATTCATGCTTCAATAAGAACAGAAAAAAGTTTTCTGTAAGCATTATTAGGAAGGATACAATTTAGAAATATGCATAGTAATACTTCAAGCAAAGGGATAAACAAAAAAACTTACCTTTATCTCTTTACGGAGGCGAACACTGCTCATTCTAAAATGAGCAGTTGGACCATGAGGCAAATGACTTAAAACAAGTCCATCTGATTACAAAATTAAGAATGAATAGAAATTGAACTGATCCAAATACTGCAATTTATGAAACTAGTCCCCTAGATACTTAGAATACTTATAATCTTTATCTTGTTTTCTTTTAAATTGGGTCTGAGGATGGGGAGAGAAAACAAATGCTTGCTAATTGAAAAATAAAATAAATTGGAAAAAAATAAACTACTCTAACTTTACTGAGTCATTTTTCTAGATACATAAAAATATCTCAGGTTACAAACTGGCATGTGGGAAGTCAATCTCAAAATATACATTTCTACCTACACAGACTACATAAGTCACTATCTTCTTGGCCCCACTCTCTGACCTTGCAGCCATTACTTCCAATATACAGATATCATGACCATGAATAAGCATTTACTAAGTACCTACTATGTGTGCTAAGCCCTAAGTGAAGTATGAACCCAGGGGGCTTACTTGTGCAATGAATTCTAATGCTGTTACACGGCTCACCAACTTCAGTGGGGAGATGACTGGTGCCAATGCTCAGCAATGTAGGTCAGACTAAGAGTTGTCATCATCCTCCTGTCCACTCTCTTCATTGATAGCCCTCAAAGAAGCAGTCACGTTTCCCCTGGACTTTCAGGGCAGTAGCAAGATAATCTGGGACATTCCACCCACACCAGCTGCACCAGTAATATCAGCAGCAGGGGCTAGAAATCTGTTACACTAGGTATATGGAAATGAGTTGCCTCCAACTTTGGGGAAGATGTTTTAAACCTCAAAGGTTCATACTATAGGGAAAGTGGGCTGATGGAAGGCTCAAGTGAGATAATATCTAAAAAGTACTGCAAATTTTAACATGCCATATAAATGTCTGTTATAACCATAAACAGAAATAGGGAGAAAAATGAGCTTCATTTGTTTGGTGCTTTTTGAAGCAATAAAAAAAAATGACAGCATTTGCCTTGAAACAGAATATTTTTCTAAAACAGTTAAATATGGGTCTGGTGATGGATTGCATGTCTGCCATCCAAGGACTAGCCCAGCTTAAGCTGGAGAGGCTCAGCACTGATTTAATGGCAGAGTGATGAATTTTTTGGTCACAACTCTCAAGGACCATCTCCTACACTCCAGAAGGGCTGTGATCTGCAGAGGGAGGTCCCACACCAACAAAATTACAGAGCCTTGAAACACCAGAATTAACAAAGCAAGTAACGTAGTTGCTATGCTACATTCCACTCACAAGCCAACTGAGGAAAATGATGGTACCCATGAGCACCCTGTCACAAAGTTCTTTTCAGTCTATTTTAGTTTCCCAAGTTATTAGTGTAAGTGTGTAGTTATATTTATTTAACTCATTACCCTGAAAATTTCTGTCCTATTAAAATTAAAAAAAAAAAGATACCAAATTTGCTTCAAGTTTTTTTTTTTTGGAAAGTTTTTTGTTTTTGTTTTTTTAAACACGTTGCCTTAAGAAAAGATTCTTCATCATAGACTGAGTCAGAAAGGACCTTAGCATCTAGTCTACTCTCATTTTACAGATGAAGAAACTGAGGCCCAAAATGGTCATCTGATTTGCCTAAAGCCCAAAAGTCTCAAAGATCATTAAGTGGCAGAAGTGTAATGTGTAGTCTTGGCAACATGAAAAACAGCTCCACTCTATTTTCTGAATTCTTAGTAATTTAATTCCAATAATATCGGTACATTACAGGTAGGCTTCCTTAATGCACTAAAACTTGTCCTACTGATTTTTAGAAATAGATCTTATTTTTTTCTTATTCCTAAGTTTGGTGATAGCTTGTAGAAGCATTAGAAAAACTTGCTTCAATGACACATTCATCTTGAGATAGGATAAACAACAGCAAGAGGCTGTCTGTGGTTGGTAGCAACTAACGTATCAAGAATTTTTTATTCAAATTAAAAAAAGAACCACAGTGAAGAAATGTACTTATTTTTCTTTATCAAAGGATACTCGGTATTTTACGATCTTCATTGATAACAATCAGATCTGTGAAATCTCGGGAGATACACTGGGGGATAATTCTTTTCAGAGCTAGTCCTCTTCGGTAATAAACATGTGAGTTTGGTATAACAGTAGACAGTTGTTCGCAGAACCTCACTGTTCTCTGCAAAACAAAACTTTTTAAAATCTCTTATGATGATAACAAAGAATCACACAGTAAAGTCAGACAAGAGCACTACTTCATTCTTGCACTACAGTTTTAGATGGCAATCCAAAAGACAGCTCTCCTTAACAGCCTTAACCTGGATTACCAAGATCTCATTATTTATCTTATTCACAAAGAGAATGCTAAATGTTAAAACTGATGAATATTAAGAGTCAGGAAACTAAACAAACAGGGCTATTATCAGATAGTTTAGTAAATATGTTTACCCCACGAGGTCTATCTGATGTGGTAATAAGAATCTTGGGAGAAGTCTGTCGGTTGAAATGAGAAGCAAATTCATCTGTAGCTTCATCATAGGCAACCTAAGAACAAAAGATGCATGAATTTAAAAATAGTATAATGGCAAAAATATGATAATGACCTAAAGCACTGAAGGAAGTTTGATACCAAAACAAAACAAAAACCCCAACAAGAAACCTAAAAAAACTTGGCTGTTTAGGTCAATTTATTAAAAAACAAACATTTATTCTTTCATTTATTTTTTTCTCCCTATTCGATTCTGGATCCGGCAAAGTAACTGCAGTTTCTGCCAAGACATATGCATGTAAGTATATTGATATACAGTTCCTACGGGTCAGCTTTATAGGTCATCTGTTCAACAATAAGCATTCCTCTATTTTTTCTTTTGAGATATTGTGAACAAATGAATGAGAAAGCATTGTTATTAAGACCCAGAATGTGCCAAGCACTGAACTAAATGTTGGGGATACAAAAACAAAATCAAAGACAGTCCCTGCCCTCAGGGACCTTCATTCCAAAAGGAGAAAAAACACCCAGGGGAGTGTTGACCAGGGAGGGGCACTTTGTTTCAGAAAATTACAGGGAAGGCCAAAAAGGAACAGGGGAACACAGTCATCCAGGAACAAAGGCAGAGCTCAAGTGATCTTGGTTCAGAAACTGGAGCCGGTGAGGATGTCTACTGTAGCCCTGGAGGACATAGCCAGAGAGAAGAGGGTGAAGTAAAGCACAGTGGGAGTTGGAAAGGCCATCACTATTAGGAAGAGCAGAACTCCAGGGCAAAAGTTCCTCTAGACTCCAGCTCGGTCTCTGGACTGGTGAGCAAGGTAGGTAGAGAGGTGTGGAGGAGGTGGTGGAAGGGGGAAGAGTTGAAGATTGTGGGTCTTATTTAGGTAGTTCTGTACAGTTATCAGCATGACATCATCTACAAAAGGAGCATCTGAAGGACCTCAACATCCATAGGCAATCCCTTTTCTACTTGGATTTCGTCCTGGACTCTATGGCAATGGCAAACAACTGTAGCAAGTTCACATCTGCTTATGCTTTTCTCAAAATCAGAGGATTCAACAGAGTTATCTGTTGTATTTTTCAGATACTTCTATGATCTTAACATATGCATGGAAGACTGGTCAACCAAATCAAATGTTTTGTTTTGTTTTTTATAGTCAACAAATAAGCACCCTGGGATCTTTTATTCTCTGTAAATTTTAGTCAAAAGTGTGACTGTAAAGACACGGTCTACCAGGCGGCCCGCCTATGTCCCCTCCTTCCCAGAGACTTCCTAGTCACAGCCAGAACTAGGTCTCTGGCCTGTTTTCATGACAACACCTTCCTTGTCCAGTACTCTTGATGCCTTTCTTGGATCAGACCTACCCCAAACTGCCAGCTCCTGCATCTGTCTAGACTCTACCAGGTTACATCTTTCTCTGCTCCTGCCTGTTGTGATTAGGTCCTCCTAGAGCTCACAGGAACATCACCACTAGCTGTCAAAAGGCTGGACATTCAGGAAACCCTTGAGAAATCTCATCATCTGTCTCCCTACCTACGGATAATCGGTTTCATCATGGCTATCTGCTACGTTTTTTTCTATGTTTTACAGAATACCAAGAACTGTGAAGTAGAATCTAAATGTATAGCAAGAAGGATATGCTACGATGGAGATGGAGATGCTATGATGCAATGACGGAGAAAATCGTTATGGAAAACCCGGCTGTGTCTTTTCCATATTTGGTCTGCCTGCTGTACTGTTTCATTTAAAAATATTTGGGCAATGATCTATATTAAACTGGTTATAATACTGAACTTTCTACAAACTCATTTTCCCTGCCTGTTTCTTACTATTTTCTGGGGCAATACTGCTCATCTCCAATCTGCTAATATCCCCATTTCTGTTACAGGCATCACAATGCTGCCTGTCAAGCAGGTTCACTCACAGCTTTGGAATCAACCTGTATTCTTCCTTCTCCTTCTGCCCCTCAACCACCAGACGCCAAGTTTGATATCAATTCTACTTTCACAAGACCTTTAAGCAGGAGCACTGGATGTTGAGTCTCCAGATTTGGGTTTGACTTCTGGTACTGCTAGTCATTCAACCTCAGAGAGTCTCAAGTATAAAGGAGGAAGTTCTCTTTTCCAGATTTAATCCTATAATTATGACCCTTTCCCCTTATACCACCACCACTCAAGTACAAGTTCTTGTCACCTCTTATCTGTAATAGCCTCCTAACTAACTTGCTGCTTTCGATTTCTCTACTTCCCAATCCACTACCCACAAAGTTGGCAAATTCATGTCTCTAAAACACAGGTCCCACCATGGTACCACCATGCTCAGGAATCTGCAGCAGCTCATCAGAAGGCAAACTCCTCTGTTTGGCAATTAATGCCATTCATGAACTGGCACAGGCCTTCCTTTGCAGACTTATTTCTCAGTACTTCTCATTACCTCTATGTTCCAACCAAACTGGCCTCCATCTGTTGCATTCCAATGCCTATCTCCATGGCTATCCACTCCTTCCCAGAATGCTTCCCTCTCGGTACCCTCTGGAACTGAATGTTCCACAGGGTCTGGTACCTTCTAGACTTAGCTCAAAGCCATTTCCCAGTATCTTTCCTGATCTCCCAGCTGTTACTGCTCTCCCTCACCCCAAAATTATTTTCTATTTACTCCTCTGTGTCTATGTTGTATTCTTCAAGGAGAGGGTAAATGCCATGAGGCAGAATGGACTGTATCATCTTTGACCTCCTAGCATCTAGCTTGAACATAGAATGTATCATGGAACAAAAACTTCTTCTGAAGACCTCTGAAAATGAGTTTGTAAGGGGCAGCTAGGTGGCACAGTGGATAGAGCACCGGCCCTAAAATCAGGAGGACCTGAGTTCAAATCCAGCCTCAGACCAAACATTTGACACTTACTAGCTGTGTGACCCTGAGCAAGTCACTTAACCCCAACTGCCTTAAAAAAGAAAAAGAAAAAGAAAAGAAAATGAGTTTGTAGACCAAACTTCCATTGCTGTCTTTCTCTATTTGGCAAGGAAATAAAATGTATGCTGGCTTCGGCAGATTCTAGCCCCTTCTATCCTCCTTGTCATTGCAATTACTTTATATCACAAACTTTCTTCAAAAATGGCACTAGTTCCAATGTGTGTTCCTTTACCATTTTTAAATGCCAATAGCTTGTTTAAATAAGTCAAGTTGGTAAAGTTTTAATTGTATAGTTAAATAATATCACTTCTACACTTTTTTCTAACTTGACACTAGTTTTGATCTTTGCTTTAACAAGTCAATAGTTTGACTGTACACAGAGAGCTAACTTGGAAACAATTCACACAAATAACCAATCGTTTCTTGTCTGTTAGGACAGTCAATTTCTTTTTTTTTTTTTGAGCGATTTTTTTTTTAGTGGTTGTCACATCTACCTCCAGACTCTTCATAATGAAAATATTCATTAGTTCATTCATATTTATATTTTAACAAGTAGTAATAATGAGTGAATTGTGTCTGCTTTCGAGAGGCTGATTACCAGGTTGGCTGTAAAAGCAACTAATTTTTTGGCGGCAGTAATTCTTAAAGACTAAGTTAAAGAGGCAACTGTGATCTGCTCAGACAGTGTCCACATGGAAACTGATGAATTCCTTTAAAATCAAATTGATAATACTTTGAAAAGTTGCCTGCAATACTTCTGTTTTTTGTTTCTGTTTGTTTTTTTTGCTAAGCAATGGTGTTAAGTGACTTGCCCAGGGTCACACAGCTAGTAAGTGTCCAGTGTCTGAGGCCAGATTTGAACTCAGTTCCTCCTGACTCCAGGGTCTGGACTCTACCCACTGCACCACCCTGCAATACTTCTGATCACACTCTACCTCTCAACCAACTTTGAGTAATTTTCAGATCCTTCCCACTTCTTAGATTCTCTGACCTCCTCAGCTTCCATGGATTCAAAGTGTCATCTCTGAAGATGGTTCCCAGATCTGTATTACCCAGCTCAAATCTCTCACCTGAGCTTCACCAATCTGCCTACTTGAGATCTCAAACTGAATGTTCCACAGGCATCTCAGATTACCACCATCCTAGTTCAGACCCTACCTGGACTACTGAAATACTATCCTTCTGGCTGCTCTCCCCACTCCAGTCTCCCTCATTCCCATCCACAACTCCACACAGCTGCCAAAGTGATCTACCTAAATCTAAGTTTGACCATTCTATAGCTTCTTATGGGGGTATGTGAAGGGAATATGTATTATTATAATGCTTACTATGTGCAAGGCACTGTTTTAAGCACTTTGCAAATATCTCATCTGATCCTCATAACAACCTCGAAGATTAGTGCTGCATTATCACCATTTTACAGATGAGGAAACTGAGGCAAACTGAGGTGAAGTGATATGCCCAACGTCACACAAGCTAATGCGTGTCTGAGGCCAGATTTGAAATCAGGTCTTCCTAAAAGCAGAACCAGGATTCTAACCACCTAGCTGCCTTATTACCATTTGGGATCAATTATAAACAACTGTGGCATTTAAAATGTCATACAAGCTGGTCTCTTCCTATCTTTCCACTCCACATTTCTCTAGTCCATCCACAGTGGACTGCTTGCTATTCCTCACTCCCGTATCCGTGACTCTGCTCTGGTTGTGCCTCATGCCCAGGATGGTGGCTTCTCCTTCTGCTGGTTTCTTTTCCAGATGGACTCAATTCAAGCACTGCTTTCTGGAGAAGGCCTTCCCTGGTTCCATTAGGATTCCAGGCCTTTCTCTCCCAGGTTACTCTGAATCTGTTATATATGCGTCTTG